GCCCCCGAGGTAAGCTGAGATGGCCATTGAGACTAGGTGGTGCACACCTATAATTCCAGCACTTGGGAGGCTGAAGAACAGGAAGGATCACTAGGAGTCCAATCTGTGTGTGAGACCCTGTAGACCCTGTACTAAATACATTAAAAAGAAAAAAAAAAAATCCTTAACCCTTAGTCCATCCATTCATCATTTTCTTTTTGCTTTTTTTGAGACAAGGCCTCACCATCTAATTCACACAGGCCTAAGAGGCATCTAGCACCCTATCGAGCTCCAACTATAAGTCTTGCCCAACAGAAACTAGTCCAAAGAGATTATTCTAGCTTACAGTTTACTTTCTTCCTTTCAGTGTTTCTGCCTTTGAGTCTGGTTATGTGATCAGATATGGAGAGGCCCAATGAACAGTCTTCCGTGTCCATGTTGTCTGTGACCCTGCCAGCTTCAGATGAACTTATTCTGTGAGCTGGGTTTGGCTCCAGGGCACCATAAAGAATCACCCTATTTCAAACACACCAGTAGCCTAGACGCAGAACTGGGGAGTGCTCTGTGTCTCCTTGTGAAGGAGGAATTGGTCACAGCAAGACAGCTACAATCTCCGCATCTTCCCCATTTCCTCCCACCCTCCTCCGAGTACTCACAGAGATCCATAATGTGGTTTCTGCAGATGGCACAATTATCAACCACAATGTCCCAGGCCCACAATGCTACTGCATTCCACTGCAAAGAGAAGAGGGGGACAAAGAACTCTCCTTGCATCAGGATGAAACTCAGGCTTCACACCCCAGCTACACTTACCAATTATTTGGTTGCAGGGAGGACTACACAAAAACAGTCGTGGTGGGGCTGGGGAGATGGCTCAGTGGAAAAAACGCTTCCTTGGCAAGCGCAAGGGCCTGAGTTCAATCCCCGGTTCCACCAAAACAAAAACAACAACAACAAAAAAAAACAGTCGTGGATATAAATGCTACTCTTATTATACCAGAGGATGACAAAAGACTACACTTCTGCTCTCTCATTCCCCAAAAGGTTGAGTCTATGAACACAGAAATGAATAATCATCTTTGACTTTTCTATCATTTGAAACAGTTGTTATAGCAATGCAAACAAATTAGAAATCACCCTTAAGTACTCCACATGGCTGACACTGACAAAGGATCTACAAAGTGCGGTACAGGGTTACAGGATAAATCCTGAGGGGACTTGACTGACCTTATCAGATACAAAAGTTGCATTTCTTGTTATATAGGTCTTGTTTATCTTGGTCTTAACCATCCAGCAGAAAAGTATAAAAACAAGGTATATAAAATAAAGCCATATTAATATGTTGAGCTGTAAAAGGCTCTAGTCAACAAATTCTGCGGATAACCCACTGCTATTGTGGACTGCTGGACTGTGTTGGATTGTTTTGCTGAATTCAAGCACTTAAAGTATTTAGATGCCAATAGAATTCCCATCTGACAGGTCTAAAGAAAAAAGGGGATACAAAGGAAGGACCATTTTGTATTTGTATATACTGAATAGTTAGGATAGATATACAGCTACTTTCGCTTAATTCAACAAGAAGAAAGATTTGTAGTAACAGTGTTTGGACAGGATATCCTGTCTGCTTCTTGTACTATGGACAACCACTAAGAAGATAACAACGTACAATGTATTAATTATTGAAAATGTCCTATTAATCAGCTTTGAAACTGTCTCACTGATAATTTGTTTCTCAATTAAAAAAAAAAGTTAAGCACAAACTTGATTTACTATGCATGTTTCCCTGACAGGTGCAGGGAATGTCTGCATAAATGCCTGCTCTTCAGGCAGCTTCAGAAACGGGAGCAGGAAGGTGAAAGCTTGGAATGAAATGAACTAAGATGACTGGATCATAAAGTGGGTAATCCTGGGATAAGCGGGATAACTTGTCATCAGTGTCAGTACACACAAGGTCACTCAAATCTTCCAAGATTACTTAACACTGCAGAATGCACTAAATCTTGCTTAGTTCTTCTCATCAAATAAACTGATATTCTCAAATTTTACATATTCAGATTCATAGTTAAGATAATTCCTGCTAAGTTTACCTCATAGTATTTAAATAATTCGATTCTCTGGCTTCCACAAGTATATCTATCTACTCCCAACCACTCCTTTTTTCTGCGAATTTGGGGTCACTTCCCAACTCTTTGTTCTCAGAGCCAGTTCTTGGGATTCTAGCAACTTCTTTTTTTTTTTTTTTTGCGCCGAATGCCTTCAAGGCATGACTGGCTGTCTTGTGTTGTGGGGATCGAACCACAGCAACCTGAGCCTGCCTGCTTTGTTGAAGCAGCCACTTGAAGAACTGAGCTAAGGGGCAGGCCCCCTCTAGCAACTTCTGCTGCACTTCTTCCACCTCAGCGTTAACTTGGAGGACAAACCCCCATCCTATTATTCTCCAATATGGCTGCGGGCTCTAAGTGAGCAGCAGCTGCGGCCACAATGACACGCCAAAAAGCAAATGGGGGAAAAACGCCCAAAGGAGGTGGTACAGAGTCTGCATTTAGCCAATGTTCTGGAAATAACAGCTTCCTTTCTATTTCGAGACCTTCGTCCTGAACAGATTTCTTTCATCTCAGGTGAGACTCGACACTTTTCTCTCAAACTGTTCGCCAACCACTATGAGGCATCTCGGGCAAAAAGACATGTTTCCCGTCTCTACTTTCTCAGTCTTACCAGGTCATCTGCCACTAATACTCAACCCTCCCTAAAAGGTAGAAGATTTTTTTTTTTAATTCCACCATGCTTTTTAATTTCTGAGGTGCTGTTCTTAACGAGGGACCTGGACGTGACGTCTCCTAAGAACCAAGCTTTACTACTCTCGGTCCTTAATTCTGTGGAGCGACGGACGGAGAGGGGGCTCATGGAGGCGTCCACCAGGATTAGAGGACCCCAAGGTCCAGGAAGGGGCGGAGCGGGGAGAGCACGGGCGGCCTTCTGAACGTCTCCCGTGCGGTAGGGCTCAGGTTCTCGGCTCTCGCCGCACTTCCCCATCCTCCACCCGTCGCAGCCGCTCCGACTCCCCTTTTCCCCCCACCCGACGCTGCGCTTTCTCCACCCCTTGGTCACTTCAGTGACAGCTCAGGCGCTTGGCTCCCGCGGCCAAGTTGCTAACCCGCGCATCTCAAGAAGCACTTCGGTGATTGGTCCTGAGCGCCCCCAGCGAAACCCACGCTGCCCAGGAAAGTGGGCCACCATCACGCCCATCAAGCCTAAGTCCCGCCCCCAGCTTCCCTGCGTGGTACCCTGTCTCGGGAACGCCCCGAAATTAAGCACTTTCCTCCGCGCCTCGGTCACCCTTAGGCCTGCCAGCCAGATCCGCGCCCCTCTACCTTCCCTGAGGAAGGGACTGGGGAGACCCAACCTTTTTCACTTCAAAACGTTTCTTGCCCGCGCCGCTGTTGGTGCCGCTCGGGGTATCCACATCCATCGCCGCCGCCATTTTGGAAACACACGGCCGTCGTCCGCCAATGCGTCTGCGCAGCGACGCACGCCTCCTCACTCTTTACCCACGCTCGGGCACCTCCTACCGCACCCCTCCCACAGCGGCGCCCGGGAGGCCGGAGGGGGCGGGGCATGTGGCCACGCCCCTTAAAGGTGCTACCGCAGGCGCTTCCCCCCTTCCCTCTCTCGCGTCAGCTGAGGAGGAGGCGGCGGGCGGTGTTGCCGGGGCGGGGCGGGACGGGGCGGGGCCGGGTGGGACCCGCGACGTGAGCGGGTCGGGCGGAGACCTTTGCGCGGCTCGCGCCGGGCCTCTCCGCCGGCAGCGCCGGCTGTCCTCCATCTGTGGGGCGGCGGCCGCTTCCTCCGCCTCCACTAGCCGGGCACGCTGCTACCCCGCTCCAGGGTTGCTGGCTTCTCGCCGGCGAGTGGCGGTTTCCGACAGTAGCCTTCCGCAGAACCTGACCTGCTTCCGAGCTTCCGACTCGGGTCGGGGACTCGGAGGCCCGAGGCCGGAGGCCAGGGCGCAGCACCGTTTGGTTTCCTGACTTGTTTTTCGGTTTTTTTCAGACAGGGTTTCACTATGTAGTTCAGGCTGGCCTAGAAGTCGTGGAGACCTTCCTGACCCAGCCTCCCTAGTGTTGAGATTACAGGGGTGTACCGCAGGACTCCTTTTTAATATATGCGAGTGCATATCCCTTTTCCACTGGCTAGCAGTGGATGGTCTTTTCTCCGTTGTTTCTGGCCTGTACCTACCCCTTGCACCATTACAGAACTGGCCTCTTTGCAGTGGCCAAGCCTGGTTTGGAGCTGTGTCCGTGCTGCCGTGCCCTCCCAGTACTAAGCCACTGTTCTGTCTGGACTTTCAAAACCCAGCAGTGCTTGTGTGCTAGGTCATTCTTAACTCCTACACAGCTTTCCTGAGTTCACATTTTCTTTTTTAAATGTATTTAATACAGGGTCTAAAGGGTCTCACTATACATATCGGACTTGTAGTGAACCTTCCTGTTTTTCAGCCTCCCAAGAGCTGAGATTATAGGCGTATGCTACCGCATGTCCAGTCACAATCGCTGTTTCAGCATGCCCTGGGAGCATGGCCTGCACTTGTGGGGGATCGACCCTGGCCCCTCCGTCTGCCTAAACTGGCGCTTTAATCCGCTGAGCTATGTGGCCGGCCCTAGCTCACATATTCTCTTAGTCGAAAATAGTTGGAGGGCACTAAATAGTGTGCACCTAAGGCCAGCTGTTCGGGAGACTCAGGCAGGAACATTGCAAATTCCATCTTGGGCAATTTAGGGAGATCAGGATTTAAAAGCTGGACGCACAGATTCATAATCCCATCAGTCTGGGAGGCTGAGGCAAGTGGATCCCAAATTCAAATCCAGTCTGGGCCATTTATTGACAAGCAATACACGGTCTCCAGTTTATTAAAAGGGCTAGGGAAGGAGCTCTCTTGAAAGCCTAGGGTTCAGGCCAGGTGTGGTGCATGGCTGTAATCCCAGCCCTCGGGAAGCTGGGGATGCACCTAAATCCTGAAGCTCCCCTGGTTCAGTGAATGCCAAAAAAACACATGAACAAAAATGGAGAGCGATAGAAGGTGCTGACTTCACTGCTGGACCAGGAAACCTGCGATTTGCTTCCCTCTTTGCCACAGACAGGAAGAATAAGTCTGTGCCAACGCCACAGTGCTAGTGTAACTCAGAGAGAAAACTGATGGCAGAACTGGGAGAGTCCTACAGCCTTATGACGTCTTTCTCACACTTTTTTTTTTTCTTTTTGAGACAGAGTCTCACTGTGCAATTCAGGCTGCCCCTGAGCTCACTTTGTAGCCCAGGGTGGCCTAAAAACTCATGACAATCCTCCCGCTTCAGCCTCCCGAGTTCTTTCTTTCTTTTTTTTCAGCCCAAGTTCTGATGGTTGCATGTTTAAACTGTCAGCTAGTGGTGCCCCTGCTGCCAGACAGCGCGACAGTGCCAGGACCTGTGGTGCAGCCTGAGCGTGGATTTGCCCGGCCTCGAGCGGATGCTGTGCGTGGGCAGCTCCTGGCCCAAACAGCTCCGTAGGGATGCGGGAGAGACCTGGTAGGAAATAACACACAAACCAACA